AGCCCCCTAGGAGTGGATCAGAGGAAGTGGAGCCAGCCCAGCCACTCAGCAGCAGCCTGGCCTCACGGCAGCGAGTGCACTCCTCAGCCAGAGAGAAGTGGGTTTCAGTGATGGCTGGACTCCTAACCCCGAGGTGGCTTGGGCTGGTGACTTAACTAAGCTGCGTTTTTATCTACAACCACAGAAAACAAGATCCACTCCCAGCCTCTGGGAGGTCCATAAGCAGGGGGCCTCCTGGAGCTGGGCGGGTGAGAGTGAAGGGATGAGTGATTGATCGTCCCCCTGCCCTGCTCACCGGAGTGGGAGTTTGGACATGTGGGAACTGTAACGAATGTCACAAATTCTTGGCGGCCAACTTGAATCCCACTAGTTGTGGTTCAGGCCAGGTCACTACCAAAGATGAATCCATTTAATGGGAATGGCCTGTCACTGCTAGTACAGGTCACTTGCACGGGGCCAGGAGGCTCAAGACTTCCCTGGGACATCCTTCCTCGGGCCGCCTGCACGAGTCAGGTTTTCTGTCACTGTCCCCGTGCAGCTGTGCCAGCGGGGCTTGCTAAGTGGTCAGGGGAGCTAGACAATGGCTTTTAAGGTGACAGTCCCTTGTCAGAGTGATGCAAAGCTGTCTGCATTCATCTGTTGGTGCATGTCTTTTTGGGAAAGCTGCTGACAAGGCCAAAGTATTGGAGGTTATTCATTTTTAATAGAAAAGTTAGACTGCCTTTGCAACCAGCTGCTCTGGGCTCCAGCCCATTGGCAGACTTTTAGGTGGACTATGCGATGAGAATTACTGTTGAAAGGGGAGCTGAGTGTAGCCATACTTCCCGCCCCCCCACCTTGTCCTTGGATTTGTTTGCCCATGTTTTGTACCATGTCCACCTCAGCCCCCAGAGCAAACATGTCAAACAAACACAAGCCATAACACGGAGCCAAATAAGCAAGGGTTTGAAGTTTATGTGGGGCCCACAAAGTCGAAAAAAGGCCAAATAAGCAAGGTTTGAGTTTATGTGGCCACAAAAAACGAAAGCTTCAATTTTCATAGAAACTTACGTGGATTATTTCGATAGAGACGTGCTGAATACAAAGGGCTGAAATAAATGAGTAATCATTAACATCAAATAATAGAACATTTTAATAAAAATGAATATTTTTTTCTTGAACATTACCTTACCAGACACTGAATAACTGCACAAATTCATAAGCATTACGCAAATAAACCTGTTTTTCTTGTTCTCCGAAAGCGAAATATTTCCTGTTGTGCACACCAACAAGTCAGTCGGCTGCTAAAATATTCGCTGCTAGTATTAGTGGAGAGAAATGGTGCACCTGTGCATAAGGCGCATAAGGGAAACAAATGCAACACGATTATAGTAATCAGTCAATTAACGAACATTGTAGTTCATTATTAATAATTATGTATAACAGGATATTGTAAAATTAAGTTATGAAATTTTTATTAAAACATTTCTTACATACGTTAAATTGGCTGGGCTGCAAAAATATTCGTTGTGGGCCACATGCGGCCCGCAGGCCGAGAGCTTGACATGCTTGCCCCAGAGCATCTGCCACTTGAGAAGCATCAGGAACATCCTTTTGGCTGAAATTTCCCCCATGAGACCCTGATTAAATGGACTCTGCAGGGTGAGGGTCCAAACTAAACTGAATGAGATCTGGGGTTCCCAGGACAAGCTGAGCCCCTGCCCCAGACCTCACTGCTCCAGGTCTAGCAAAGGTGGCTGGCTGCCTCCTGCAGAGGCGACCACAGAATGGCCTCTTCTTGGGTCCCGGGAAGGTGGTTATCAGAAGATCTCTTTTGTGTCATAAGGGAACAAGGGACCATTGTTTGTTACCCATTTCCCTTGCAACATTGCCTTTTTCCTTCTTTCCTCTCCATAGTTTGTAGGTGATCATCTCCTCCCTGGCTCCCCCCCCCCCCCTTTTCTGTTCTTAGGATAAATCCTATTCTCGGGGCAAGGGTAGTTTATTACCCCCAGGACACAAAGCTTAAAAGGAAACTCCCTCCCCACCGCAAGTGACTGTGGGTAGAGCAGGAGAACTAAGTCACGCTTTGGGAGTCATCACAGCTCTCTGTGGGGAGGCTCCAAACAGATCTTCTGCCTAAACAAAGACTCATTCAATTTTACAGCAAGCGGACATAGCCGTGCTCCTTGGCGCCCAGCTCAGCAGGCGGCACGGCCTCCTGTTGGAGCCACATCTCTGGGAAGGGAAGGAGCTTCTGAAACATTTAGTCGTGATAAATAGCACACCTATTGGTCTTCACGAAAGACTTTAGTTATTGTCCAACTTCAAGCAAATCCCATTCATATCTGAGCTCTGCCTCATATGCCAGCCCTAATTTTTAAAAAAAACAGAAATATATATGTGTGTATCAATAGAAAATCACACTAGACAGAAGTCTAGAGGTTACAGTAATTATCTCTGAAGAAGCAAGATCCCACACATTCTTTGCATGTCTATGTTCTTTTTAGAGCATTTCTTGTGTTTTCCAGTACAGAAGGTATGAATATGCTCATTGACGCCCCTGTTTCCGGTAGAGGCAGAAGTATGTATATCGTAGCCGAGACCCAGTGAGTCTCTCTTGGCCTCTGATGAGTCTGGAGCCCTCAGTATGCAGAGTAGACTGGATTAGCACGCGAAGAGTAGCTGTTAGGTATTCTTAGGAGCTCCTTGAAGTCCAGAGCTGCCTGCTTTCTCAGTCCCCTCTCCCCTTCACAGGCCGGGGATGGACAAGGCGGCCAGTGAATGGGCATCTTGTCTTGTGACTTGAGGTCATTAATGGTCATGACCCATGTCAACCCTCATCAGACATGAACTTCATTATGTTCTGACTTGGAGGTGGGATCTTCTCTCAGGCTTGGGGCTGGCCATGTGCCCCGAGTGAGCTCTGCAGGGGAAGAGCCGCCCCCACCCCAAGTCCTCCTGTGCCCCATCACCTCCAGGGGACATGCTCCAGGGGCAGAAGTCTGATTTATTCCTGTGCAAACAAAGGTGGGGGAACAGCTGGCTCCACCTTGTGCATGTGTCTCCTTGTGGCGTCATCCCAACAGCAGAGGGCAGTAGTGATCAGCAAGCCCAGGAAAGAGATGGGTTACCAGCCAGGAGCAGGTGGTCCTCCTATAGCGAGTGGCCACACTCACCCCACACCCATTCCCAGACTTCTCCTTCTCTCCTGAATGCTTATCAGGCTGTTGGTGAGTGTCCTGACTCAGCGGAGCCAGGGCAGGAGCACAAGAACCCTAGAACCTTACCTCTGTAAGGCGGGGCCTCTGACCCCCTGGCATGACAGATGGAACACTGGGGCCCAGAGAAGGGACTTGCTCAGAGTCACACAGGGAACCAGGGGCAGAGGAGTTCTAACTGCTTTAGTGAGGAAGCAGGCCCCGTGTGGAAGGGCTGTTCAGCGGGAGGCGGGTGGCTACAGGTAGGAGAGATGCCCACTGCACCTGTGCACAGGCCCCAGCCTAGACCACGAGCTCCTGGATTGTCTCACCTCTAAATTCCAACACTCTGAGCCCCGTATTTCTGGGCGGGCCCTTTGCCGCTCCAGTAAGACCGTGATGTCTCCCATGGGCACAGGCTGGGCCTCTTGCGATCTGTCTTCCCTTCCGCACACCCAGCGCCTGGCAGGGCACCCAGAGAAGATGTGAGGGCTCAAGGTGGTGGGTGCGGATGAGTAGCGAGCACCGACAGGACAGGGGACCTCCTTCTCTCTCCCCACCATCCCGAGGAGCTTCCTGAGCACGACTGTGCTGTCTCGTCTCTGGGCCTTCGTCTCATGGTGGTCTCTCAACAGCCTGCTCCCCACTCTCCCTTCCTCTGCTTCAGCTCCATTCTTCTGTCACTCAAGGCTCAGCCCTGGTGCCTCCCCCTCCCAGAGGCTCACCTTCCCTGGCTCTCATCTGGATTCCCGCCGCCTTGGTCTGTAACTGGTGACCCTGGGCCACTAGGGAAGCTGTGAAGGTCGGTGGGGAGGAGGACTTCAGGGCCCCGCAGGTCTGTGTTCCAACCTGGCACTACCACTGACCATCTGGATGAACTTGGCAAGTCTCTGAGCCGGATCTGTAAAACGGAGATGCTAATCCATGTTCCACATGGACAGTCAGGAGGATCTAGAGACGCACAGGGAGTGCCTGCAGGAGCTGCCACTCCTACCTGTAGTTGGCATTTGTATCTGGGTTGTTCTCCGGAAGATGAACAGCTCTTTGAGGGCAGGGGTGTGGTCTTATTGGTGTCCCAAGTGAATGAATGAGTGAGTGAATTCTGGGGATGAGCAGAGAAGTCTGTGAAGTCTGCTTTTCACCAGCAAGATGCAGGACAGCCGCCCTCACCGCCCCCCCATCCCCCCCCCCCCCCTCCACACACACACCCAGTGTGCACTCAGCCCTGGGAAGCCCCTCCTCCCTTCCAGCCCCATTCTCAGCTGCCCCACCTCAATGACATTTCTCTCCTAATTACCCTTTTAAATGAAATTTGTTAAGGTTGATGTAATTTTTAAACTGATTTGCATATTTTAATTTAATTTAATTTGTTGTTGTTGTTAATCCTTACCCAAGGTTATTTTTCCATTGGTTTTTAGAGAGAGTGGAAGGGAGGGGGAGAGACAGAGAGAGAGAAACATCAATGTGAGAGAGACACATCAATCTGTTGCCTCCTGCACACGCCCAGACCGGGAGCCAGGGATCAAGTCTGCAACTGAGGTACCTGCCCTTGACTGGAAATCAAACCCAAGACCCCTTAGTCCTCAGGCCAGTGCTCTATCCACTGAGCCAGACTGGCTAGGGCTGATATGTATATTTTCATAAGAGCACGTGATGGACGGGGAGTATTAAAGAGCACGCGATGGACAGGGAGTATTAGGCTGCAAACTTTCTGTGAAATTGACTGAATGATCAATTGGGGCTGCCCTTCCTCCAGCCCTTGGGGGAGGGGGGCGGGGGGGCTAGCTCAAGACTGACATAAACTGGTTTTTTGCTTGGCAGACCACGGTGAGCTGGGATGGGGACAAGCTCCAGTGTGTGCAGAAGGGTGAGAAGGAAGGACGCGGCTGGACCCAGTGGATCGAGGGTGACGAGCTGCACCTGGTAGGTTCCTGGGGCGAGGGTGGGACCGGTCCTGCTGTGGTTCCTATTTTCAAGATGAGGGCATAGAGACTCACACCCAAGTCACACAGCTAGAAAGTGGCAGAACTAAATTTACTCCCAAGTAATGTCTCTTTTCACCATGCCAACGGTGGCAGGCAAGCACCCAGGACAGTTCTCTAAGCAAAACATGATCTCAACAATCCAGGTCGGGGAGGCGAAGCCTTTCTCAGCTCAGCTGTGGCCCCACTCACCCTGCCCTCCAGCCTGGGACCTCTGGTCAAAGCCACTTCTGCTCCATGTGTTGCCTGAAACAAGCACCCACAAATCCAGAGAAGGGACCTTAGCATCCAGAGGGCTAAACATTTCCTCGGAGAGGAGACCTCTCATCACTTCTGTGCCCTTGGACTTCCCCAACCATCTTCCTTCTAAGAAAGGAGTCTGGTCCGGGTGACCTGGGTTCTAGTCCTGACTCACTGGGTGCCTTTGAGTAGTACCTTCCTTCCTTCAGCCTCATCTGCAAAATGCCCTCCTACCACATAGGGGTTCTGCAAAGATCAGGCCTGCAAGAGCTTTGGGATGTGTACGGGCGAAGAGACATGAGGGCAGTATTTTCGAAGGCGGCTTAGGACGATACAGAGAGCCAGGCTGCAGTGCATCTCCTCCCTGGGCCTTGAGCATCTCCTCCCTGGGCCTTCCTTCCTCAGCTGCACGAGAGAGGGTAGCTGTGATCTCCCCAGGCCTTTCAGCTCAATAGTTCTGTGGCTCCGTGACAGAGGGTGCAAACTGGGGGCACAGGCCTCTTTTATTTGGCCATCAATGGGCTTCAAACTTCTTCAGCCAACAATTTAACAGGAAATGTCACATGAATATTTTGATTTCTAGCCTTCAAACGAAAAACAAAAAACAAACCCTTGGAAGGGGTGGCAACACTGTGCTGCCATTCCTCCTGGCAGCAATCAGCAGGGCTGCCTGCAGGCAGGGCAGGGCTTTCTTGGCCATGTTTTAGTACTACCTGGGAGTGTTTAATAATAGCAACTTCCGTACCCCACCCACTGAGGTGCTGATAGAACTGGCCTAGCCTGGGCCCAGGCATTTTTCAAGCTCCCCAGCTAACTCCAGCATGCCAGTGAAGCTTGGAAGCAGCATGCTAGTTTGCCACCCGAGTCTGTGGCAACTTATTGAGCCCTTTGAGGGGTCGAGTCTTGTATCTGAACCTGATTTCTTCCAAGGCTGGGCACAGACTCTGTCCTGGGTTTAGGCCTGAGATTTGTAGAGTCTTTTGGCCCATTAGGGAGGCAGTGGGAGCATCAGAGGGTCGGTCTTGTTGGTCAGCTCTGAGCCACATCAGTTTCCCAACCAGCTCTCTTCACAGGCTGTAGCCACATCTGCGCTGATCCAGTTCAACCAACTCTCCAAGGAATTGGTTAGTTCAAACCAACTCTTGGGAAGAACAGCAGCCACTGAGTATTTCCTAAGTTGCTGGCCCTAGAAGTACTGACCCCTCGTGTGGCCTTCGTCTGGCCAATGACAAGCATCTGTTTCTGTTTCAGGAGATGAGAGTGGAGGGTGTGGTCTGCAAGCAAGTGTTCAAGAAGGTGCACTGAAGCCAGGGCAGACCTCGGTCTCGGGGAGTGAGTGGCATGGGCATGCGGGCGGGGGTCCCCCCCCCCCCAGCTCTGCACAGCATGGGGCAGAAACGTCCAGCCACCTCCAGGTATCGGTTAGCAGTCTGTCTCTTGGCCTTGTCCCTTTCCCTTTTCTTAGAACAAAACCATCCCAATAAAAGTGCTCTCTGCTCAAGACATCTCTCTGGAGAAGCTTCGAAGCCCCTCTGTGCTCTGTTTCTCTGGGGCTTCGGAAGTCAGCTTCCTCTGGTGCCACCCCCGCCAGAAGGGGGGGACTTCCGCCGCAGCCTGAAGATTTAGTCGTGATGGTGCACCTGTGTGATCTTTCCTCAGGGCCCTGGCTGGGGGCTGACATCTGTGTGCCTCCACACACCGGGTCCACTCAGGGCCACAGTGCAGTGGGTGCCACAGAAGCCGGAGGAGGTGCTCTCCCCGTGGGGACTTAGAGCCTGTGAAGGGGACCCCACCAGCAGAGATCTCTAACTCTGTGTGCACAGGAGATGCTCTAAAATTACTTGTGGATGAAATGGAACTGGGTTGCAGTTGGGAAACAGCTAGAATGAGGTGAGCCTTAACCAGAGGCAATTACCTATTTGATTGGATTTCAAAGGTGTCATGAACCCACCCAAAACCATCCCCACCTCACCTATGGGCTGATGTAAAGCCTTCCTTTTCACTATTTTATATATATATATATATATACTATATACACACACACACATATATATACATATATATAAAATTTTTATTGAATTTATTGGGGTGACATTGGTTAATAAAATTATATAGGTTCCAGATGTATAGTTCAATAGTACATCATCTGTATATGGTATTGTGTGTTCACCACCCAAAGGCAAGTCTCCTTCCATCACCATCTATCCCACCTTTACCCTCTACTACATCCCCCGACCCCTTCACTGTTGTAGAAGAGACATAACTCGCAAATTCCCCTGGAAGAGGGAAAGCAACTCATGTTCACACTAAAGTGCAACGATGGCTTGCTGTGCCTTTGTATAAAGAAACACAGGGAAACAAGTGTGGGTGAGGAGGTGGGAGACCCTGGGTGGGGGAAACCCCGGGGAAAGGGGAGACTTACATGGAGGACCCCCTCAATATCAAGTCTGTCCAGGCTGTGCACTGCCCCCTTGGAACCAGTACTGGGTTAGGAGTCAGATGAGCTGAGTTCGAATCCCAACACATCCACTTCCAGGGCAACACCACACCCCTCTGGACCTCACTTCTCCAGTCAGCAAACCGCCATAATGATCCACCTCCCGGCCGAGCACTAGACCAGTGTCCCTCAGACCTGGCTAAGCATTAGAAGCACCTGGGGAGTCTTCAGAACTCCCTAGTCCAGGCCACGCCCCAGAACAATTACATCAGAATGTGTCAAGGTGGGACCCGGGCATCTTTTGTTGTTGTTCAGCTCCCAGGTAATTCTCATAGGCCACTGGAGTTGAGAATCGCTGCCCTAAACTAACGTTTTTAACCTGAGGCTGATCCAGCCTCCGTCCAGGGGCATTTGGCGATGTCTAGAGACATTTCATTTATAACTTGGATGGGGCCTCTACTGGCATTCCAGGCCTCTGCCCACTAGATGCCAGTAGTGCTCCCACCCAAGCTGCTAAGCAGAGGCAGGGATACTCCCGAACATCCTGCAATGCCCAGACAGCCCCCAACAGCAAGGAATTGCCCAGCCCATATGTCACCAGCGGTAAGGTTGAGAAACCCTGCTCTAGACAAACGGAAGAAATATTTAATGTTTTTCATTATTAAGGTCGTTTCCCTAGCGGAGACCAAGGAAATGAATACTCAGAATTGCCCGAGATTTGGGAGGCCCCTTTGCCTTTAGGGCGCTGGTCTCTGTCCCTGCGCATAGAGAACTCAAAGGCAAAGACTCCTGTAACAACCATCCATTCATTCATCCATTCATTCATCCCACAATGGTTAATGAAGACCTATTAGGTGCCAGGCACTGAGCTAGTGCCTCACCTGTTGGGCATTCAGGAGTTCCCACCCCATCCCAGGTATTGAGAACCCCATTAGACCACCTCAGTACCTCCCTCAACGGTCAGCGGTGTGACCCTGTTAGTGAGCATGTGCACCCCATGTCGGAGTCTTGGCTCCGTCCGTGGGGGCCTCTGGCCCCAATGGGAGACTCAGCCCGCCTCTGATTGAATGGCTTGAATAGCAGGACCTGTTGTATGGGCAGTGGGGGCCACAGGAGGTTTTTGAGCAGGAGGGTGGCATCATCAGCCTTTCCGCAAAACGAATCTGGCAGCTGTTCTCTCGGCGGTAAGAAGAAAAAATGGCAAAGAATACAGTTGGAGCTTAGCACAGGGCAGTCCCATTTAATTCAAAATTTGCTTCCTATGAGGCTAATCTTCCCAAAGAAGGATATGTAAAGTGGGAGGGATGTTTGTTATTGTGCCTAAATCTATAGCCACGGAGCCAGGCCTCTGGCTTAAAGCGGCTTTCCGACTGCTCAGCAGCGTCTCCAGTATTTTGCAGGGGGCTTGCTCCTGAACGTGGCAGCAGCATGTACCAGCTGGTTCAGCCTTCTTTGTGGCATTTTGGCACCTCTCACCTCCGGTCACAAGCTATTGATGTCAGCTCCATTCCTGGAACACTCCTGCAGGCTCCACCACTTAACTGTCACTGGGATGCCATTGTTACCGGATATAAAAAAGATTTTCAATTATAACATCAGTGCCTGAGAACAGAACCGGGCACTAGCCGTGGACTCACTGAATGTCCAAAGCGTGGCAGCATCCCGTGGTGCCCACAGCACTGACCGGCTGGCCCGGTGCCCCAGGCTGTGGGCACAGCGTCACTGTATCTGCAATTCCCTGGGCCTGCCAACTTGGAAAGGTTTGTGGACTTTATTTTTTTTAACTGAAGAGTTACAGTATTTCAAAATGTACTCCAAACAAAGGCTTATTAATATGTTTACATCACATAACTTCAAATTTTCAAAACCTAGGACCGCCATGTGCAGCAACTCAGGCAGGAAGTGCCAAGACTGAGTCTCGGGCGGTGGCCAGCCCCCTGAGCATTGGTGGGTGGCTAAGCGTCCAAGTTCTGGAGCTACATAGCCTGCGTTCGCATCCCAACTCTGCTCCTTCCTGGCTGTGAGGTTAAGGCAAGTCATGCATCCCCCGTGCCTCAGTTTACTCATCTGTAAATCGGGCCTAACAATTCCTCACAGACTTTGTGAGAATTAAATGAATCTAATACATGTAAGCAATTTAGAATAGATATACAGTACATTTTATCTGCAAAGAGATTTGGACAATGGCAGGCATATAACAAGCCTATTTACCTGTGAGTTTAAAAACAAACAAAAATAAAAACAGCACAGAGGTGAGAGGCACCTCAGGGGTGGGATCAACCTGACTTCATGGTGTGGGTGACAGAAGAGGAGGAGGAGTTGAAGCTCAAGGACAGCAGGAAGCGTCTAACAGAAATGAGGAGGGCTGGCTTGGCCAGGGCAGGAGGCCCCCAGTGGCCTCCGTGGCAGAGGGAGGGGCTGGAGCAGGGCCTCTCTGACCGCCCAGTGTAGAGTCTCTGCCACCCTGGCCACCCACACACGGGACACTGATTGGGACCCTGGAGCCTGGGGCCCGACACAGTGACCCTCCATTCCAGGGCTGGTAGGAGGATGGACTTCGGACCCTAAATCCCCAAGGCCCCATCAACGTCATTCTCTGGGCAACCTCCAAAACCCTCCGACAAGGAAACCCTGACAAGGCAAACCCCAAGCACCTCTCTGGAAGCCCTAATGTATAACCTCTGTCTCAGTTCATTAGGACCCCAGGCTGCCCCTTTCAGGTGCAAATTAAACAGCTCAAAGCTGCCCTGCAGTTACAGTCAGTCTGCTTAATTCTCCTCATGTTCCCTGTCCACACCCACACTGACAGCATCTCCTCAGATCCCCCCTGCAGACCTGGGTCTTTCCCACCCTGAGTTCCCAGGGGCTTCACCAGCTCAGCCCCAGCCCCAGCCCCACAGCCCACTCTGTTGTTAGGTTAGGTGGCTCAGGAGGCGGCGAAGGAAATAAAGAGTTGATCAGAAAAGGAAGGAAGGAAGGAAAGTTTATTCTGCGTCCCCGGGAGACCCACGTACCCCCAGGGACAGGGCATGTGGATTCATGCCAGCACGGAGGGGGGCGCTTTTTTAATACTGTGGTTGGGTGAGGGGCGGGGACATGAGCTGAGGTATTCAGCTGAGGAAGTTTCAGCTGCAGGGGGTCAGCAAGGTATTCAGGAATGAGTCGGTATCTGTGTGGGGGTCGTGGAGAAGCCAGTATCTGTGTCTGGCATGCTGATCTTAGAAATGCCAGGGGGAGTCCATTATCTCGTCACATGTCTGCATGTATCCGATCCTGGGCTCTCTCCGACCTAACAGGTGTAGGGCAGGGTCTGCACAGGTGGTGGGAACCTGCGAATCCCCCAGGTCACGGGAATGGGCTTCCTTCTCAGGGAGATTTGAAACGAGGACAGAGATGACTTCATAAAGCCCTTTGGATAAAGGAATTCATTTGCTCTGGGAAGGGCACTTACCAATGATGCCATCTCCATTTCCCCCCCAAAGATAGCCTGGGGGTGCCCTTCCTGCCTCCACAGCCCACAATGCCCCCTTCTTTGAGTTCCGAGCATCTCAAGGCCATTTCCCCTTTCTGAGATGTCCCCTAGAAAGAAATGCCAGATCAGAATAACAAAACTTGTGCTTTATTTCAAATGGTTGCCTGTAACAAATTAAACAGTTTAGCACACAAACATACGCTGTAATGTAATTATGTTGTGTTAATCCCAAGATAATTATGGGATTTATAAAATGAATGCGTTTGTCATGTGCCCGAGGCAGTCTAGTCCAATCACATTGCACAAGTTGGAAGCTGGAGAATGAACTTCATTCTGTCCCGTGACTGTCTCTCTGCGACCTTCACTGTCACTTCATTTGGTGATAATGTCGAAAGTTGAAAAGCCCTTCATGCATGTGATGTCTGGCCAAATGGGTCCTTTCCCTGACACCATAGTCCCCCATCGGAGGCCCTGTTTGAACTCCTCACATTTAACTCTCAGTCTTTCCTTTGGCTTCCAGCGGTTCTCAATCTGTGGGTCGCGACCCCTTTGGCGGTCGAACGACCCTTTCACAGGGGTCACCTAAGACCATCCTGCA